ATCATTATTAACAAACCAAGATATTGAATGATCGTATTTTCATTTTTTTTTGTTATGTTATGCTACATCAACGCTATTTTGTACACTAACACATTGTATATTACTAATGTCTAAGTCATACCCATCTCCACGATTTTACTTCTTGGTTATTATCGTAAATATTGTTTTGCTTACATGGACAACTTTGTTGTTATTATAACCAGTGTTACCTCCGGACAATCTAGGGTGGGAGCTATGTGGAGATATACATGACAAGCTTATTTTGTAAATAGTTTTTGGTGTTATTTTTATTTATTCTGTCAATTTTTCACTGCATGTACATTTATCATTAAATATTTTTACGTGCTGTTTATGTATATGACCTTGAACACACTTCCGTCGTGTTACACTCATAGCATGATACATTGTTGACTACTAACAAATACATTGTTGTGCACATATCTCTCGTTCTACGTTCACTTGTGATTGTGTTAACCGAAGTCTAAATCAAATACTATCTACATTTATGGACTGTAATTGGAATATATCATATCCTACATTGGATCATATCACTGGGGAGTTCATCAAACTTACTGGAATTATCAACCATTTATAATTGTGGATATTTCGTACCAGATCATATCAGAACACGCACTTACCTGGTGAACTAAGTAACGTCCCTCATTTCTATTGTGTTTATAACATTTAACTTATATATATTAACATTACTATTTGTCCTTAATAACTCTGTTATTACTTTTTGAGTTCGTATATTGTCTGGTCCACCACAGTACTATATATGTCAATATTTTGGTGTGTATGAGGTAAACTATTGAACTCTTTAGTTTTTGAAATTTTAGATTTAAGCCTTGGTAGAACATACTGTCTGGTAGACTGTGCTGACTTTTCGATGCACGTAGGTATAGTGTCTTGTATGTCGACCAGCCTTACCGTTGGCATACTGCACGTAGAGATAGAGGGGCTGTAACATGGAGAATCAGGTGATGATAGTGACGTTTGTGTACAATACGCATATTGTTCAGTAGTTAAAGGTCCAACAATATCAGATACTGAGACGTCAGTAATAGGGGTTACAGATTTGGACCTTTTATTTGGCTTAGAATTTGGTGAAATTTCTCGGCGAGACTCTAATTTATGGACGAGTTAATCAGAAGCGTTTGAGGAATTTCAGTGTCACGGCGCCAAGTTGAACACGCGATGCTCACATACGATCGGTTTACAGCAGATTTTAGAGAAGAGGTGATTATTGAGCGACTACAAAAGATGGGACTATTGAGAAGTTCCTGTACATGTGACTGCGGTAATCAAATGACTGCAGTACGATGTGCAAACTACCGTGACGAGATTGTGTTTCGTTGTTCTATATGTCGGAGGAAAAAATCTGCTCAAACTGGCACTTTCTTTGCTTGATCACGACTCAGACTAAGGCAAATCATGATAATTGCTGCGAATCGGATTATAAAGTCTCCAGTGACATTAGCTACAGCTTTTGCAGATGTTACAGAAACTTCCACCGTTCAGTGCTACGAGTATTGTCTTGATATATGTGCAATCAAAATGACACGCCTACAAGAATCATTTGGAGGAGTCGGAAGGATAGTGGAAATAGATGAAACACTAGTGAGGAAGCGAAAATACAACAAGTAATATTGGGTAAGTAGCACTTCCGTGAATATATTTGACAGGTATTTGGACTTTATGATCGCTCAACCCAAAAGGGGCATTTTCAAAAGGTGCATTTTCAAAAGGTGAGAAACCGTCAGGCAACCACAATAATACCTATCATAAAGGAGTACGTGCAGCCTGGCAGTACGATATATACTGATTATTAGAAAGCGTATAGATGCCTCCATAGACTTGGGTTTGTGCATCATGTCGTAGTACACAAACACCAGTTTGTCGACTCAACTACGGGGGTTCATACTAACAATATTGAAGCGGTGTGGTCGAGACTGAAGGAGTTTTTAAGACCGTACCACGGCTCCAGAGGACGACTAATATGGAGCCATATGGACGAGTTTCTTTATCGTATGCACTATGATTTCAGGGCATGTGAACCTTTATCTAACCTTAACAAATTTTTAAATCATGTAAAAAAAGAATATCCGCTGTAATTCATTAGTTTTTTATAATATATTTTGACTTTAACTCTTTTCTGATTGGCTAATAGTTTCAAGGTCACCTAAAAGTTCGTTCAAAGGTCGTTCATAAAATAGTTTCGCCAAGTATAAACATGGTTAATACTAGGATCAGAGACTATGAGTATATAATGAATTTAAGATCTATTCAATACTTAAGTCCGCAATAGGAATAATATGAACTGCTAATTGTCCGTCGAAAAATTTTTTTTCAGTGTAAAATGTACCCAATGTAAAGAATAGGATGATAATCACAGTATTATACACCCTACAAAAGAACAAGTCAAAAAATTCTTAAACCACGTGAAAAAAGTTACCAGTTTCAAATTTTGTGGCAGGTCACCAACATTGATGAACAACAAAACAGGTGGGTAGAAAACTTCAAAGAACTTGTAGTGACTCACATTTATCACGAGAACACTACTGGTTTAATAAAAACAATTATTATTATAACCAACTGTACCAGTGTTTATTTTAATGTGCTTTTGTTTGACTGTGCTAATGACAGCTATTTTGTGCTTCCATTCTTATACACACACTTCGATTGTAACTTCGCGCGAATTCGGCACACTATGCGTGTTAGTTTACGGGTTTTCGCGCACATGTAACATATTGTCGTGGATTTTATGTTTCGTTATTTATCAGCTATTAACAGCCTTTTTTCCATCATACGTGACTTCTCGTAATCTTTGTGATTGGAAGATAGTATTTATTTCAATTTATAAGCAGTTTGACGTATTTTGTGCTCACCACCTAAGTAAACATGCAGTTGGCATAATATGGTTATTTTTTAATAATACAAGGTCAAACAAGTCAAATCACCATTTTTCTAGTGAAAAATAGAAAACAGATTGACTTTTCATGAAAATAAGCCGTGAAAAGCATTATATATGGTTCACCTCCTTGATTATGATGACAGCAAACATAGATGTTCGCAGTCGTTTATAAGATGTTATCATAAAGAAGTAAGCATTAAACTAACTATGGATATTATATAAATTGTTTGTATTTAGCCATAAAAGGTTATTTGCACTAAAGGTAGCGTTGTTTGGTATTGAAGTGACATATTATTGTGTAACGTATCAGAGAAAAATTATGTGAGTAAGAATTGATGTTGATGGTCTTTTTTACCGGCTTTCTGAACGTATACAGGAACAGTGTATAACACCACATTAAATAGGCACAAAATCTTCATAAGTGAAACGATGGCTGTCTCTTCTGAGCATGGTGACAAAACCATGTCGTACTTAATATTGATTCATGATGTGTCTGTTATAGGGTTGACGAATAATTTTCTGTAAACGAAATCCACAGTCTCAGACGAAAATGTGAACAAACTTATGATGCATATTGTCGAGTAATATCTAAATGGTATTTACCAATTTTTCTTGCTAATACCAGATGTATGTACGAAATAATAAAAGGGTTAGATACTGAATAAATTCCCAGTGCTTGTTACGACACAGACTTGCATAAAAAACAACTTTTCATGATTTAATTCATGAATTCCTACTGTATTACATACTGACTCGTCCGAAGTAATTCATGCAGACAACGGGACGAAAAGTGAATGAGCAATGGAAGCAGAATCACAAGTTCCTTGTATTCATATCTCGTTTATGCCACATTAATGAATAACATTTTCTTCATAATTCAGACCACGCTTCTTTGTTATGACGAAACTGATTTCATCAATTTTTAAATAACATTGATTTGTGTGTTGTAAAGATTACCTATTAATTTTTATTAAAGGAAATAGAAATCTCTAATGATTAGCGCTATCTGCAAATAAGAGACTTATAGGTACATTCTGTAACCTGCTATTTGATGTACTTATTGAATGTGATACTTATAACTAGGTCTAATTCTTTATTTCACAACTGATTTGTTTGTTTTTCAGAATTGTATGAATCCAATAAAGTCGTCAAAGGTTTGTGATGTTTACGCCGGTCTACAACTTACAGAATTTGTTAAAAAACGGTTTACATGTTCACGTTAACTGTGTTCCGTATTGCCTAGTAACATTTTTATTCAACTAATGAATTAGTGAAATATAAATATAGCAACTACACTTATTGTCTTACTTTATAAACCGTGTCCGTCTTTATTAATAGTCGATATGACGCTAGAACAAATATAGATATAGAATAATATGAACTCCTTATAATCCATGGAGTGAACAAGTAATAAGATGGATTATGTATTAATTCATTTCACTTTTAAAATTTAGTTGCCGATTTATTCCAGCACCCTGTCACTTACATCTGCTCATTTAATCCTCTGTAATTATGTGACCTCTTCAAATTGTAATAAGTTATTACGTGACCCAAGTTTTCAGTTCTTAAATCCACGGATCACTTATAGGCCATAAGATTTTCACACCACTTATCTGTCTGTGAACTCCAGTCCACTATTACACCACCCATTCTTAATGTGTTATTGACTGTAAAAACAAATGACCTTTGATCTTAAACTGTACATATATATCTATATATATCTAGTCATTATTGATAACCCACGTCATTTCAATTATTCATATTAAGGTATGTCAACTGTTTCCCACATCACTGTTAAATCCTAATGCATATTTAGTTATAACGAATGCATACCACTGTTAATCAACATTTATCCTGGTTTCATTTTAATTCATAAGCGGAACTAATCACAAGGAATTAAAATCTTAGCTACTGATACGATTTTAATTATAAACGTAATCCGACGAAGGTGAATATGATATGTGGGTGCCTAATCTGCAAGATTGTACGTGGATGTAGGGTTTCTGAATCATTCTTAATTATTACAAACAGTTGCACATGAACGTCATTGCTATTTATTCCCATGAAACTAGGAATAAGATGAAAATGAAAATTATGACAGTTTATTGAATAATCATTGCTGCTAAAGCAGAAAATCAAGTTTACAAGTTGGTATTAAGAATTCTTAAGTAATAATTGTCCACCTTCTTCTCAACTTCCGTTGCGAAACGTTCACCATACTTCTCAATGATGCGTTGCTTATGGATTCTTTGACTTCGTTGAATACTTATATACACTTCACTCCGTCGTGTTAATGCAGTTAATGTATAATTTTGGAAGTTCTGGGTATTATGTAACTTCCATCTGCTACAATACCTAAGAAGTTGATGAGCTATGCAGTTAGTACTTCATAATTGATATAGCTTACCTGTAAGATTTCGTCTTTTAACGCAGGCAAGTAGCATGTGACGGCAGGGATATCGGCACATCATAAACGTGCTACAATTGCATTGACAAATGCTTATATCAACTTCATAATGTTGTCCGCGATCAACCATAAACAACCAATCACCGCTTTCATATTCCACGTAGGCAAAACGCATTTGTTTAAGTTCGTATAACAATTTAGATCTAGCGAATGGGGTCAAAATGTTTAGCAGGGGTGTAAGACGCTGTGGAGCATTATATTTATAAGATCTTGCGGCTATCACTTGATCTTCGATAACTTCATCTGCTGACTCACAGTGAGGTATTACGGGCTTCAAGTTCTCTTTTTCTTCTGACGATAATCTCCTTGTAAAAGAATCACATACCATCCATGAACTACTACATGGATGATTGTGGAGCATGTTGTAGGATTTGATGACATATCCTTGCTCCTCTAGTCTTACACGAAATTTAGATCGACAATTACGGAATTTAGACCTTAAACATAAGATATTAGTTAAAGATCTTACGATTTTTGCCTCACTTCCAAACCTTCCGATTTCCTCTTATGACCAAACGTACAATTAAACGATACAAACAGGTTTTTGAACCTGACATCCTTCAGCAATCTGCTTTCTGTGTGGATGTAACGAGTATAAGTAGTCTGAGAAGCGATAAAATTATAATTCCATACTTTTTGGAACTCTTTTAAGGCGCTTTCAAAATCATCCCACAAGACGAAACGCTTGTTCAGTATCATGCTTCGAAAGGCATCGGTTAGGTCGACTGAAATGTCACTTGAGCATGAAGCACTAAAAACAGAAATGACTAATTATTAAAAGGTTATTCCTTGCGACAATAATAACCCAAGAAAATACTACAAATACTTAGGATTTACCTGTGACTTGACATTTCGTTGAGCTTTACTACAGTTGTTGGGATCAAAGATCAAATTACAAAGCAACAACAGAGCCAACGTGTACACTACAAAACAGAGAACGCAAAATTAATGGTTTCGGTATTTATTTCGTGCTTTTTTATGTAGCATAACATGACTTATATATGAAAAAACTTGGTACTCATGCAATCCAACCAACCCACGGCAATTGAAATACGGAATGACCGCCTCTAGTCAAGCCGTTCAAGGTCGTTGAAACGAAAGGGCGGGCACATTTCAAAAGGACCTAACGTTTAAACCTTGCCCGCGAATTCGGTTACCTTCTGTAACCAAGGTTGTATCCTGGCACGATCTCGGTATCCTCTCGATGCCACGAGATCGCCAGCAAATGTACACCTCGATTTGGTCCATTACTTGCCTTCTGATATTTGGCTTCTCGGAGATTTTATGGGTTTCTTCGGTTACGTTCAACCTTCGCCTTCTGATTTATTTGGCACGTGTTACTTGGTAGCGGTGTTCATAGTTAATCTCAACTCGACGCCACGCTAC